TTTAGGGCCATTAGTTGACTAGTCGCCCACATGTTTATGATATTAATTTATCCATTAAATGATATATTTTGGGAGGGGCAACACAATGGTTTGAGTTGAAGGTGTGAGAAAGAATAGTATCAGTAACATTGTTAACACTGTGCTACATTACAGAGAAATACAAAAACGTACTAATGAACCTTCATTAATATAGGCCTATATTTTATCTCCAAGTGCACGTCACACACTGAGCGAGCCGCCTGTTAATGACGCTGTGGGCTAATGGGCATGTAGCTACTTCCATGTTTCAGATGATACGTCATGTTTGTAGTCGACCAATGAAGATGAGTTTACATATCACCTTGGGTTCGTCCTTCACCTTCTCAAAATGATCCCACACTTTGGATTTCCTGCCCAACATGTTATTAACTAGCCTGTGGAATAACCGCAGGTACCAGCCCTGGAAATTAACCTGACTCCTGTCTGACTACTGAGCGTGGACACTTCCTGTGTCTGTCATTTCAAATTAAATTCACACATGGTCCAGTCAAATAGGTTGTGACTTATTTTGACAAGGTGCAGCTCCTAATAGAGTTTCACGTTTGTTTGTTTTTTTCTGCAACTAAACCACGAATGAAATCTTGCAGACTAATGACCTTTCTGGTCGACGAACCCTTGGTCAACTATTAGGGGGCAGCCCTTGTGAATATGTTGAAATTTTATCTTCTAAGCCTGGGCAGTATATTTAAAGAAAAAAAAAAAAAAACATAAATATGGGTGATCTACCCTGGTCTACTTATGAGCCTATAGTCAAGATAACCAGCAGACTACTATGGTAATTGATAATAAGCTCAAAAGTTTCACATAACAAAGCTAACACTGCCATCATTTTAAATGACTGGAAAATGCTAAAACAATTAGCTTCATATCGTGGGAGGTATAGTCAAATAAAACCATAAAGTTGGGTGGTCAAACCTTGTTTGCTATTTAGTCTAGTTAGCTTTCTAACCAAGCAGGGTCCATTTAATAAATTTAGTAGTATATTCCGTGGCAGCGAAACGTTTTAATGCTAGTGATTGAGAGGAAAATAAATGTTAATTGATCTGAGAGGGAACTGTCTATCACGTGTAGTCTGATCATCATCATCCTGAGAAATGGTTTAAACTGCCAAATGAGCTGTTTTTGAACTTTTAACCATTTCACACCAAGTCTCCAGTGTTGTCAAAGAAAAGTCTGAAATCATGTGTGTATGTTGTTAATTATAGTTCTTAGACAGAAAATTGTGAGCGGCCAACAAAATTGCAGTTGGTGCATCTTTATTTTCCCTGACATATAGCAAACCTCCATTTGTTGGGCAGCTCTCAGTATTTTACAGGTCAAATAACACACGTCAATAAATTCCTTACAGAATTAAGCTCTTATTTTTAATGACTTCTCCAGGTTCTCAAAGAACCTGCAGATATTGGAGAAAGAAAAGCACTGACAAATATTTTTTGTGAAGCTTTAGCATCTGTTTGGGTACCCAAACCTGGCACTTTATGGCCCTGACTAAAACAGAAGCTAACATAGAAGAGGCTATTTGTGGCACTCCAAATGGCACTAGGAAAAGAGGAAGGAGCAGTCAGGTGAATGAGGACAAAAAAAAAGAAGAAATGAGGTAGTTGTTAGACACGCAGACATATAATCAGATGAAAGGAAAGACTGCGGAGACATATCAGTTATACAGAACACGCCACAGGAAGCTAAAGAGTGAACACCAGCGTTTCCTCTGGAGGCAGCTTGCTAAGTGTACTTGTCAGAGTGAAAGGGCACTCCAGAGGGAGGTAAGGACACGGCTGAGGAACTTAAACACCCCTGGGTTTTTGAGAGGATGAAGCTGGCGTCCTAAGAGTGCTCTTAAGAGAAGGAAGGAGACTAATTTTGCCCTCTTGACAGGATAGGTTAGAGAATGGGTTTGCATTTTGAGAATATCAATCAGAGAGAAGACTTCTCAGCTCCTTGAGAGAGTGGATGAGATTATGTTGAAAGTATCAGTTAATGGCACTTCCTGTTGTTACAGCAGATGTGACGGGGAGAGAATGTTTAAAGAGAATTAATAACATAAGAACAAGCATGACTTTTAACCACAAGCGATAGTGAGTGTGTGTGTGTGTGTGTGTGTGTGTGTGTGTGTGTGTATAAGATGTGCACGTAAACAGACTGCAGTTCATGTTAAGTGATGTGAGCTGTGATGTGGCTTTTAAGAAGCATGGGAACACGTAACCACAGAGTAGAGTCTTGTAGAGTCAAGACTTTTTTTCTCAAGATAGTTAAGAAGAGATAAGGGGACCATCAAGTTCAAGGTACCTCTGGCAGGAAGACAAGAAGCAGGAGTGAATTTAGACAGCAGCTAGAGAAAGCTTGGTGCTAATTCAAGAACCATATGTGGGTCAAATGCAACACTGAATTTCATAGTTTCGTGAGAGACTGACCGCAGCACTTAAAACGAGAGATGCATCCACACAGTTTTTCAACAAAACTCTGACAGCTGTCAAAATGGAAAACACTATTTTCCTACAAGCGTTGCACTTGGTGGATTTCTGTCACTTGTAACTGCATTTGAGGCGTTACACTGATGTGGTTGCGCTAACATAGTCAGCACAGTGCACTGGGAGAGGCACTGCCAAACTGCCAACAAGGAACAAAGAGCCGTCTGCTTTGGACAGCAGCAAAGCAGGGACAGCCCGGTGCACCGCAACATTTACGCCACCAAACACTCCTTTTCTCTGATGTTCAATGATAGTTTTATATCCCCACTTGGAGTTTATAAATGCCGTTGCAAATGGCAGTTGGACTCTGCATTTGTGAACACTGATCAAACATGCACATCTACACTTGTGACTGAACGCCATCTTGTACTCAGACTACAATGTTTACTCTGGTGAAATGTGAGGAAAATAAAAAAAAAAATTGACAACTTTTTTCCCACTTTATCAGTACAAAAGTTCAAACATACATCTGTTAAACATATTAGTCAGAACATATTTGCCACAGATACTAATAAAAGCAACAATCTAAAATAGGAGGTAAAATAATCAGAATTAATTAGATAAAAATGGATAGGCTGTTTTATAACCCTTTTCCACCAAAATTAGCACATGTACACAGATTTTTTTAAACAGGTTTTTAAACATGAGAAAACCCATCAAAAAGCTGATAGACTCCTTTCTCATTGCCAGTAGGCTCTTTTTTAAATTTGTACTGGTGTGTCACGTCAAACGTCACTGGCAGGTCGGATAACAGGTTAGAAAACAGTAGAAAGCAGCATGGAGGCCAAAGAACATGTTACGGTGGTTACTTCTTTTTATATATATCTTACAGACTCATTTGGAGTGATGTTTAAGAGATGCTTAGGCGAAGACAAACGTCATTCTCTGTCACCGGTAAAGAGGCTAAAATTAGCGTGTTCACCCAGATGTTGAGTTATACTCACTGCCAGTTGGAGCTGGAGCCTATAAATACCTGTGACTACTTCTGAGTGAGAAAGGGGCTTTGTAAAGGTGTGTGAGAGGGGATTACTTTACAGTTATTATTTTTAATTAATTTCAAATGCTTCAAAAACAGGAGAAATACATTTGTGTAAATAATATTTTGCCTGCAGAATAAAACTGTTCTACAAAATATTCAGTATATCAGTGTTTGTGGTCATGTTCTCAGTCTTAAACATAGCTTAACCGGGTCATGTAATCTGCCACTCCACTACAATCATATAATTATTAGAACTCCTTAAATATATTGCTTGATCCAGCTGAAAGCACAGTACACAGGCACGTGTGACGTGTGTGCTCATGATAAGGATGGTACCACCTCTGCCTCATTTTGAGCCAGGAAAACTCTGCATACAATGTATTTTATCAAAACTTTGTCGAGATATTTGTAGATAATGCAGAATAGCTACTGCTCCACCCGCCTCAGTCTTGACAAGGTGCTGAAAAACACCAATGAGTCCAAACACTGCATAGGTGCAAGTGTGCTGAAATCTTGCACTGTTGCAGTATTTTTGTACACACTCATCTACATACCTTTGTCAGGGTGTTTATTAGCTGGTCTTTGTAATCATGTGTAATTAACCTTTTTTGCTTTTGTATGCTTCTAGTATATAGTTTATATCACCTGTTTTACAGCTGTATATTTTTTTATTCTGTATATTTTTATTCTATCTGGTCTGTCTGTAACTTATGTTGCTGCCTGTCTTGGCCAGGACACTCTTGAAAAAGATATCTTTAATCTCTCAAGATTTTCCTGGTTAAATAAAGGTTAAATAAAAATAAATAAAAATAGTAATGCTATACAAATAAAATAAAACACTGTGCTTCACCACTGTAAAAAACAAAACAAAAACAAACTGTCTCCTTAGTAAAGCCAAAACCTTTGACCAAGGAACTAAATATCCCGATTTTTATCACTTATCATCTCAGCCATGGTCTCATTTGTTTTCAGTAATTATATCATGTGAATATTCTTTATCTAAGGTGACAATAATACAGTAAAAAAAAAAAAAAACACATGCAATGTTAAAGAAACTTAATTCATGATCAAAGTGCAAAAGATTTCAAAAAACATGTTTCCTCCTATTCCATATCAACACACTGCACAACCCTGGATCTGAACAGCTGAAGATAATTCATTTAATTTCCCATCATGCCAGTGGAGCTGCTCAGCGGCCAATATTGGTCATACTGGACAGCTTCGGGTGTTACACGTCTATATTTAATGTGTACAGTATTGAGCCTACCAAATGTAAACACTAGAGTGTGTGAGTATGTGATGGTATGGTGTAACAGTCAGGACAGGAAAAGGAAAACGAGAAGAGAGAGAAAGATGGAGGCAGCTCTCGTAACACTGGTGTTGACAGGTGATGGGGGCTCATGAGCTGGAAGTGTGTGTGTGCCATCTCTCGTCCCATCTGTCTTTCACTACTCATTCTCGCTCTCATACGCGGGGCATACGTTCTTAAAAATGATTCACCTATTTGTACTCACGTCTGATGCAGGTCCTTTATCGGCACCTGGACAGGAGAAAGTGACGAACTCATGGCAACGTTTGTGAACCACGAAACAACAGACTGTGGAGAGAGAGAAAAAGAAAGAGAACATTAAACTCTGTGCACAAAACATAATGTTATTCGCAATCTGAGACAGCAGTTCTCAACTCTTTTTGTGTTAAGGACCCCTAAATTGATACACATTAGATCAAGGACTCCCATTTCATATAAAATTCTCCTTCAGGGACTTCTACCTGAAAAGATTTTGGCTGCTAGATATGATCAAGACCAGATTTCTATAGCTGTCAACGGTTGAGAAAGTGAAACCTGATAAGTATCATCAGTCGTATGACCTTGACTTACACATGGCTCACTTCTATAGTGAATTACACAATATGAATAAACTATTCTACATTTCTTCTAGGGACCCCCCAGAAGCCCCTCAAGGACCCCTGGTTGAGAACTTTGCCCAGTACACACAGTCAACTACACTGACTTTCAGCAGTTATACGCACAACTCAGCTGGTTATATGGGCAGACTGTTCTTATGCAATGTTTGTGTGTGTACAATTAAAGTAATGCACCACAGTTCATGTGTAACCCACATAATCACGAGCCAAAAATGTGTGTATACCCCATGTAATTAGGAGGGTTGCAATCACGTGACAAATGCGCTGACAAAAGTAAAGAAGGAAGCAGCAGAAATACCGATAGTCTGTCTCAGGGTTTTAGGAGGCAGGCTGGGGTGGATGGATGAAACTACACGGGACTTTCCCCGACGAGACAGATGTTCAGGACCACAGGAAACCAGGTGACAAAACTGCACTCAATGTTTGGTGGCCTCAGCAAGCGCATTAAAACTAATACTACTAACATGGGAGTGGTTTTAGACTCCAATTTAAATTTTAATTCTCATTTTAACAGGGTCATCAAAACATCCCTTTATCATCTTCAGAACACTGCCAAAGTCAGACCATTTTTAACCCAGAAAGATGCCGAAACACTCCCTTCACGCTGTCATTACCAGCCGTTTAGACTATAGCAATGGTGAGCTCTCTGGGGGGCACTGGAGCCTCTCCCAGCTGACATTGGGTGAGAGGCAGTGTACACCCTGGACAGGTCGCCAGACAGGGTTAACAAACAGAGACAGACAACCATTCACGCTCACATTCACACCTACGGCCAATTTAGAGTCACTTAAGAGAAGCCGGAGAAAACCCACTCTGACGCGAGAAGTACATGCAAGCTCCGCACAGGAGGGCTCCCCCACCTGGGTCTGAACCAGGAGCAGCAGAAAAGCAGTGGCAGAGCAAAGGGGAGCGCTTTCATCCCAGCGCTTTTCTTAATAATGTGCTCCGCGTGGGTATGTTTCTAAGACAACAATATCTTAACACTAACATGAGCTAAGTAGCTAATGTAACGCGACATTAATAGATGGTTGACTACACAGTCAACAACTCACTTACAAAGCCAACGGTGATAAAAGCACAAACTTCATCCACAACATCAAGTGTTCGCTGGCTGATCTGTTCCCCAAAAATGAATTCTTCTGCCTTTATTGTGACAGTGGACAGTAGCCGAGCTAAAGAAGCAGCACTGATGTCCCTGCCACCTTTCAGAAAGTTCAACTGGAAGTGCTTGGAGGTGTTGCACAAAAAAGGCGATGTGCTCTGAAAAAAGACGGTGAGCGCTTTTTCTCACATACGCTCTCTCCTCATTGGGATCAGCTGAAAAAGACGGCAGCACTGACAAAAAACTCTACATGGACACACGCCCTAATGATGTCATATACAATACACCCCAGTAAATATTTATACCCAGGAAGGTATTTAAAAAAAAAAGCTGTCACCCAAGCTCAATGGACGATGCTACGATTCATCAGCGACGGCTGTCAGTCATTAGTGGGGTTTCCATCCACCTATTTTTATTCGCATTTTCAAAAATTGCGGAAAAAAATTTGGATGGAAATGCCAGAAATTCAAAAAAAGGCCTAAAATTCGCAAAAAAGTTTTTACGCTTGGAGGGGGTTGATTTGTCAGCAAATCGATAAAAGGAAAATGCAACTTTTTGCTATGGAAACATGTTTTGCGAATAAACAATGACGTACTGGATATCACGTCACACTTCTGCGCCATGGTGTCACCATGAAAAATGGCAGCGGAGGAATGTTTGAGATATGTGTGGGGCGACGAAGAAACTGAAATTTTTCTTCAATTAATAAAAGAAGCAAACATTAACGCCATACTAGACGGAAAACAGCAAAGAAATGCGACCGTGTATCAAGAGCTACAGAAGCAAATGATGGATAAAGGCTTTGACAAACCATGGCAAATACTAAGAAGCAAGTGGAAGAGTTTGAAACAACACTACATGGCTGAGAGGTGTCAGGGCCAAAGACCTCTGGTTACATCTATCAACTCTTCAATCAACAGCTCAGGTAAGGTAACGATAGTATAACGTTAGAGGACGAAAGGGTGACTGACNGCGACCGTGTATCAAGAGCTACAGAAGCAAATGATGGATAAAGGCTTTGACAAACCATGGCAAATACTAAGAAGCAAGTGGAAGAGTTTGAAACAACGCTACATGGCTGAGAGGCGTCGGATGGATACCAGCGGTGAGGGAGGGTAAACTAAAACCAACTTCAGGTATTTTGAGCTAGTGGACGAAATTCTGGGCCAAAGACCTCTGGTTACATCTATCAACTCTTCGATCAACAGCTCAGGTAAGGTAATGGTATTATAACGTTAGAGGACGAAAGGGTGACTGACGTAAGTTAGCGACCAGCATGCTAGTAGTCCCATTTGTGAGTCGCAGATCGCTGAATGAATGGATAAAACGACAGTTGTTGAGTGTCAGTTGAGTGTGTTGTTGTTTACAGTGGGCATAAGACGTTTTCTTATGACGTCATCTCATGGTGCACTCTTCTTCTACGGGGGTGTTTTTATTTTGTTCATTTTTCACGAGAAGCGCCACCTACTGCTCTTCCTGTTGACTCCCAATAATCGCAAAACAATAACGAATGGAAACGGGCATAAATTCACATTTTCTTTTGCGCATTCTCACAAAATTCGCTCAAAAATTTCAATACATTTGGATGGAAACCCCACTATTGACCACAGAGCCCAACACTGTGATTCAAAAGACTTCAGTCCACACTCTTGAAAACTGTGCTACTATAATGCATAAAGTGTGTGGTTAGGTGGTTGATTGATGTACGTTTCTGTGGGCTGGAAAGTGCACCCCACCCAACAACGATCTCATCGTCAGTCCCGTTTCACTGTTGACATTGTGGTAGGCCAATTCGAGACATGACAATCACACATAACCTAACCCTACTGGCTATCTGAGCTTTTAATCAGAATATTTGCAATGTATGTGTTCAGTATTGAAGAGAATCACTAAGTATTCATCAGGATGAAATAAGTTAGGAGGCACTGTTGTGAGTGAGCTGCACACAGTACTGATCATAGCTGCCTATTGTGAAGATCTGCATCTGAAAGTGAATACTAACCATTTTCTATCAAAATACACAGTGACATCAAACATGATCCCCGCCATGTGCATCAAGGTTGTTATCAGCACACATCCACTCGCTGACACGCTGACTTTGAGAGCTTGGCTTTAAAATGTTAAAGTACATTTTAATTTGACGATACGTTCAAGCAAAATTAGATATGATTTTTGAGCGGGAGGCTCGATGAAAGCGGCGGTCTCTTGCTGTCTCCGAGCTGTTAGAGGCAGCACTCACTTAACCTATGAAAAGCTTTAGCGGTGGTAAATCTACAGAGGGATGCTGTACTTCTGTCTTTACACCCACACACTCTTATTGTCACTCCCGCACCGTTGACTCACTGTCAGCCACTCTGGATAAGAGCACCTTCTAAATGTCTAGAATGCAATGTATAATGTAACCTCATATTTATGTTGCAGTCTGTACCAAAATGACTTCTTATTAACAGAGTTTCCTGTGTGTGCAAAGTTTGCTGTCAACAGAACTGTTAAATCAACAGGCTGAGTTTTTCCTCCCTGGGCAGAGATATGTTGAAAATAATAAGAATACACATAAACACACATGAATGATCAAAGCAAGACAGTCTGATCACAATCTAAGTGAGATGAAAAGCGTAACATGGCTCCACTTTACAGGTTGCTAACAATCAGCGATGCGGAAACGTGACGGCTCCGATGCACAGCGAGCCTGTCATCTCCACCCTGATCAATGTCAGCTCCACTGACAGGCAAGACGAACAGAGGCTAAAAATACCTCACACATGCAATCATCATGATTGTGCCCCAGAGTATATTTACATAGTGTGTATGTGTAAGGGAGAAATATAGAGAAGTGCACTGGACGGGAGATATTCTGATGATAGCATCAGCCGGAACAGGTTATTGAGCCACTACTGAAAATAATAAAGCATATTTGAATCATCTTGCTCTCCTGCAGAGTTATGAAATTTTGCAAAACCTGCTCATCTACATAATAACCCCATTACAAGGAGAGTAGAGCTACAATTGTACTGTAATTGATTAATCGTTTATTTTTCCCGGCACAAACACCTAATTTTCTTATGCTCCAGTTTCCCATTTATTATGGGTTTGCTGTTGTTTGATGTGACAGTAAATTGAACATCTTTGGATTTTGGACTGTCAAACAAAACAAGTGATTTGAAGACATCATCCTGGACTTCAAGTAAATTGCAATGGGCATTCTTAACTTCCGATATTTTATAGACCAAACAATCAGTCTAATAAAAATAACTACAAGTTGCAGCTCTAGAGATGAGTGATAACTGTACAAAGAGCTCCTCACAGGAAATTTAAACGGTCAAAGCTCACTGTCAGCATGACATACTGTAAAATACTGACACAAAGTTTATAGACCCAGTATATTGCTGAACTTCTCTGCACCTACTCTAACTCCTGACCTCTTGGATCCTCCGAACAGGGTCTTTTAACTGTCCCTCGATCGAGGCTGGCGGGTTTTCAATGGCCTGTGGTTGTTCTTAACGGTTTTAATATTTCAGCATTTTATAATCTTTTCTACGTATTTAATTGTTCTTAGCGGTTTTATTCTG